CTCCTACTTCTACTTCTACTTCTACTTCTACTCCTACTCCTACTCCTACTTCTACTTCTACTTCTACTTCTACTTCTACTTCTACTTCTACTTCTACTTCTACTTCTACTTCTACTTCTTCTACTTCTACTACTTCTACTACTTCTACTACTTCTACTACTTCTTCTACTTCTACTTCTGCTTATGCTTCTACTTCACAGGCGGAGGTTGAGGAGGAGGAGGCTAAAGCTCGAAATCTCGAAATTCAGCGTCCAGGTCGTTGAACTGATCGGGCCTGGAAAGAGTCGAAGCTGGCGACGTAGTCTCCCACCTTGGCTTACGGTTGCGGGTTTAGGGTTAAGGGCTTAGGGTTTAGGGTTTTGGCTTTAGTTTTTAGGGTTTAGGGTTTAGCTGTTAGGGTTTAGGGTTTAGGGCTTTGGGTATGGGTTGACGTGGCCACCAAGTTCTCCTTCTCTGTCTTCTGCTGCTGGGATACTGCCGCTAAGTAGAAACTAGCAGTACCACCAGCAGAGATCAAAAGAGAACGAGCACTTGTCCTTGTCGCTACGATTCTGCTGCTCACTGCTACTCTCACATTGCATTGCAACTGCGGTCTGAAATTCAAGGCTCGGCATGTTGGACCCCTGGCAACTGGTGCATTTTACACCCGCCCCGTCGTGGCATGTGACCGAAGTCTCGTGTGCACTCTTACTTTTTCCAAATCTTCGTCCTCATGAGCCAGTGATGTGTTCTCTGTGACACTAAACCCAACACCGCGTGCATGTACGGTCGGATTTAGGGGTTCAGTTCAGGCTTTGAGGTCCAGGGTTTGGGTTCTGGGACTCTTGAGGCGTCGTGCTCAAGGTAGGAGCTGCCATATCCTTACGGCCTTAGCGTTTCAGAATCGGGGTGCAAGTTAGGGCATTGTGCTCCAGAAGACAGCAGCAATAATACGACTCTTACTGGGACTCCCACACCCACGCAGAAGATCGTAAGCCCAAGAGGCCCCTAAGAAGCGACTCTGCAAACTCCTCGGGGTGCCGACGCTCTCCTCCTCCAGGAGTTGCAGCTGGCTGTCGATGTTGGCAGCTACCTTCTTCCTCGGGATGGGGGATGCAGAGGGCTCCGAACTTTGAAACCCAGGGCTTGAGGGATAAGCAGATCGGATTTTAGGGCTGCAAGCTCTGGCATTTCAGAAGACAGGTCAAGGGAACCTGGCCTGCTTTGCCGCATCTGGCAATCGCTATCAAGTGACTCACCACAGCTATGGCATGGAGGCTGCATCATATTGGAACCCAGAGGGTCTAGGGATGTGCAGAGGCCAGGGTTTACGGATGTTCACGGCTTTTCGGCTGAGCATTTTTGTTGTGGCTTCTAGCTGGCAGGCAGCTCCCGAACTGAGCCACCGGCGTCTCGCGCACGCCCAGCTCGAGGGCGGCTGCGACGGGGTCGTCCTAGTTTCATGCCGGTGAGCAAAGCATACTCCAGACAGAAACGCAGCACTTGAGGCCGCAAAACCTCGTGCATGCAAATCTTCTGTGCCCCAGAAATACTAAACCCCCGCAGACCGCAAACCCAACTCAGCTCCAAAGGATTGAAGTCTACCGCCCCAGGGTTTTTGCACAGCCGTCCTTATGAGCATCGCTGCTCTGGGCGGCTTCCAACCTGGCACATCTCTCTTCCAGACTCACGATCTCAGGATCTCAGGATGCCACCTGACGTAGATACAAGAACAAATTCAACGCCCAGGCCCTGACCAGCCATTTGTTCAGTAGAAACACCACGGCCCCCCCCCCGTCCAGGCAACTTTGCTTGTGAGACTCGAGGTGACTCGGAAAGCTGCAGTGCGAAACTTTCTGCAGTATTGCTGATACGCATGCACACTTCTGAGCTGCTACCTTCGCCAGGTCCATGGTCCCAACAAAAGGCAATACAAAGTCAATCCCCAGAAGATGAGAACGGACCTCCTCTTCTCAAATTTATTGGTGGAGGCAGGAGCTATTTGACACCGCGGCTGGAAAGGTGTGAGATCAGTCAACATGCTAGCGACACAGCTCGTGCAGGTCCGCAAAGTCGATCGGCCTCAGACGCCGCAAAAAAAAAAAACTCCTGCTCGTGGAAGTCTTGAATCGGATGCCGCACGCTCTTACTGCCTGCGGCACGAGTATTTCCACATTACATGAAAAGAATATCTCCAAGTGATTGCCAGGGAAAAATTCCTGGGCAGCTATGGCAGTTATGGTCCCCAGCTCGAAGACGGCGCCTTCGGCATCCGCCATGGACAGCGGCCTGCAAGAATTGGCTGAAGGCTTCATGGCCCCCAGGCCAAACCTTACGGCCCTGAAGCATCAATCCCGAAGCTCTACACTCCACATATTTCACAAATTCCCAAAAGCTGCAACCAGCAACAAGGCTCCCAGCTGCTGGGAAAGGCGCCGCGACGACGGGTGCAAAGCCACGTACTAGGATCCGCTGTGTCTTCTTGAAAGCGCAGCTAAGTACTGATCCATGTCTGTAGAGCGAGAAGCGAAGAGATGATTGTCATGAACAACACACGCTGAACAGGAAACAGTAGTTTTGGGTGTATGGGAAGTGTCGGGCTCAGGCCCTGGGGCTCAAGGCATACGGGGAGGGTTGTCCGCTTGCGGCTTGAACTAGTTATGCCTTTGTCTTTTTCCGGCTGGCTGCTTCTTTGCAACTCGAGTACGACGGGCGCATGAACTGAGCCATCGCTGTACATCCAGATCTGTTGCCTAGATAGGCCTGCGAGAATCTCACAAGCTCGCCAGAAGGGTTGCGGAGGCATTGTCAGGTGCATCGTAGGCACAAGTCCGCACAAAGCATGTCAGCTCGCAGCCGCGGCACTTTTCGGAATTCCACGCCAGGACCAACTATTTTGGCCACAACAGCAGTCAAGCCGTCTCTTCTGGCTCGAGAATGTCTGGCCTTCATCTCAAGGGCAGGCACCGCCCCGTTCCGAAGGTAAGTTCCTGGCCATTGCGGGCCTACGACATCACTGCGGGAGTTCGACGTGGCCATCTACTTGGTACAAGTGTTGAAAGCACCGATGCTGAGTCTTCCCCGTCTCGCGCTCCTTGGCAGCATGGCGGTGACCTCCTTCCAGTCGCAGCGGCCTCGTCCAGTTTTCAAGTCGCCAGAAGTACACGAACCCAAAAATCGAGGATCCCATTCCTGGAACCTCAAAAAAAACCCAAAATTTCAAACCGAAAAAAAACAAAAACGAACCACCTTTGAAAAAAATCCTCTCCTCTCTTTAGCTGGCCTCAGCTCGAGATCTCTGCTAGTCGTCCTCCTTGGGAATCGGTGGAGCCATCTCCCCCAAGTCCTCCGGCAGAGGCTTCTCGTCCTCCTCGTAATCCTCCGCGCCAAGGCTCGTGGGTCACTGGGGTTTTGGGAGGGGTTCCTAGAGAGGTTTTGTACTCTAAGCATTCCGTTGAGGGTTCCATCAAGGGTACCTAGAAGGCCACGAAAAAAAGATATTATAGGATGCTACAACGGATTTGGGGTTTGGGACGTCTTCAGGAGCGAGGGGGAAGCGCCCTCGCCTAGACTCTAGACTCTGTAGGTCTTTAAGTTTGTTTGTTCTCTGGCTATGCCCGCGGTCTTAATCAGCTGAGGACCTGGCGAGCTGCCACAAAAGCGAGGAAGAAACTACATCTGAGTGGTTAGCCAAATTAGAATCTCATCTGGGTTCCCAACTATGGGGTGCCGCATGAAGAACAGAGTTATACAGTTGCAGTTGTGTGGGGGGGGTCTCCAAAAGACAATGATTTTGACAGCTACCCATCTGTGGACGTACCGACAGCTGGAGACCGCCTCGGCCACGGTTCTCGGCTTAAAGGCTCGCTTGGCGTCCGAAGGTCCGGCGAGGCAGCTTTCAGATTATCGCTCGGCAGCCCCCTAATGCCCCTTAGCACCTCATTCTGCTGGCGCTGTATTCGGCCGACATGATTGCTCCGGATCTCATCTTGACTGCTGTCTTCGGGATCTGGATCGAATTCGACTTAGGAAAGTAAACACATTGTCCCTTGCTGGTTAATACTCTGTCTGCTGAGGCACAATGCTGTTGCCGAACGAAACTCTTCGAACTGGACTCAAAGTGGGCCCTACCTATGTCGTACACCCCTGGCGACCTAGGCAGCCCCTAAAAACTGAAGTGCTCTACACAAGGACACCAAATCCTTTAGCCTTTAGCCCTACCTACGCCTTGAACCCTTCACGAAACCCCAGACAGCCCTGGAAGCCCCCTGGGCCCCGGCGTAGTCGCGGGAGGCCCTCGCTGCTCGCCACCCGCCCGCTCCCGAACTGGGACCTCGGGCTGCTGGCGAATCTTCCCAGAGGCTGTCAGGAGTTGAAGGAGTCTGCTTGCGGGTTTAGGGAAGCTTGGCAGTTCTTGCATGCCAGCCTGCGGGGCGAGAAAATGCCCCGGGCTGGTTCTACACAGCATTACAGAGCCTGAATCCGTACCATATCAGAGCACTGCTGACAGTTCCTGACGACACAAGAGAGGGTCGAGCCGACGCGTCGCCGCGGTGATGGCGTACGGCTCCTCTTCCGCCCTGGAGCGTGAGGCTTGCGACACCTATACAGCATCCTACGGCTTAAACTGGCACAGCATACATACAGAACGGTCCAGTGCGACAACAGACAACGACATTATACGATCGGGTAGCACACGATAGAACGTGTCTAAGTATGATATTGCTGCTGTGAAAACAGTCGCGAAACTATGCGCAATCGGCTAAGGAATGAAACGACATTATGCATGCGCAGAGGAAAGTGCAGTCCTAGTTGCTGGAATGCATTCCAACACACGGTAGGGTATTATCTCAGTTTTGCGCAGTCACGGGAGAGCACCGCAACGCAACGGAAAGAAACGCTGCAGTCTAGAGTCATGCCATGCTTTGCACTACGGCACTAAACAGGGCACTGTAGTTTAGTGCAATACAACGTAGTTGTCACGGCATTTTACTGAACATCTTGCGTGAGAGCTAACCCAGCTTCTCAAGAAATAGCAACAGCCGCGATGCTTGTAACAGCACTACGTGTAGAAAAAGGCACAGTGGCAGCAACACGAAGACTTGATCAGACAATCAATCCCACCACAGAGGCAGAAGTAGCAACAGCACTAGCAACAGAAACAGCATGGGCAATGCAAGAAAAATGTAGCACATCTTTCGTAGCGTGACAGCATTGTAGGAGTACGGGACATAGATTTCACAAAAAGCGCCGGGACTGGGACTTGCTTCAGAACTGTGTCTTCAAATTTGCATTCCAGCAAACTCGCATGGAACTGGCGGCAACGTGCTTTTGTACGGAGCGGTGTCGTAACATTCGCACAGAAGATCGGCTCCACAAGCGAACGTCGGAAGCAGTCAGGACTCACATCGGGCCTGGTCGCACAGGGCTCTTGGGTCGTAGGACGTCGATCTCTGCGATGCTCCTGAAGGCGGCGCGACGGAAACGAGTGACGACGAAATCTACCTATTTTTGTCTGACCTTGATCCGCTGCGATCATCCAGAATGTAGCACACTACTTGTACTATCTGTTACAAAACGGTATGTAACATCACGCTAGTTCCGCTAAAGCACAGCATAGGGCAGTAAAGCTGCTTTCATGGCACTGCCTGCCTGACACTACATGGCATCGTACTTCGTGTCGTGATACTACAGCATGTCCTTATTCTGCTGTACAACCAGTTGCCCAAGTTGCGATAGAGAACTTCATTCATTGTGTGGCAGTCAAGCATTCCATGACATGTGAGATGACCATTACATACCACCGAGCCACATCACACGATGTATAATGATTTTGCATGACACTGCCTTGTGCCAGCCGAGGAGGTACTCTTCTTCAAACATGTTGCTGTGCTCTTGGACTAGAAGGTACCAAGCTTTGCAGCAAGACCTTGAGTTGTGCGACAGACCTCGCTGAGAAACGTGGCATTACCTTCGTTACATTACATAGCCATAACCGAAAACATAGGCAGTTCGCCATCGTCTTGCGCTTAGACACCAGCAAACCCCTGCAGAAGCAGCTCTGCGGTCCCGAGGAGCCGCCCGCCCTTGTAGTCCTGCACCTGGGAGTCTGTGAAGTCCATATCAAAACCGGCCAGAAATGTGGAGTGCACGCGCATGTGCTTGTCGCTGTGCGTCGAGAGCACAACCGAACTCTGCCGGCCGAGGCTCAAGATCTACCCCCAGGCATGGGGACGAGAAGACAACCGGAGAAGGCAACCGACAAACGAAGCCCCAGACTACAGACTCCAAACCACGAAGCTATCCAACAGCCTAGTACGCACTCAGCACAAGGAACTTCAAGAGTGATCGCTCTCTTGGCCCAGAGTTCAAGGCACACCGGGGCAGTCCATCTATGTATACACTGATGTACATCTCGCACAGCCTTGGACGTTTGTCTGTGTCTAACGATCAGATCCAGGTGTACCTAAAGATGTGCAACATCTTGCGATAAACCAAGTTGGAGCCTCGCAGAGTTCTCAGGCTCAGCTGGGCGCGGTTTCCATGCCCAAGGTGATGAGGTCGATGCCGCGAGAAGCATATAGAGACTTTATGGTGAATGCGGATCCTGCTATAAGCGTCAAACTAGTGAAACTTCGTTGCGAGTATGGTTTGGCTGATTTGGTTGTACGAATCATGGGCGATAGCGTTCTCCTTAATTATTCTGGCTCATGACACCAAACCTACTACTGCAAAATACTGTTTTCCGTCTTGGCATAGAGAATCAGCCTACACGCTTTTCGATGTCAATTCCTACGTCTTTTACGGCTGGTGTCGTGTCTACTGCTGCCACGTTGATGTTGCTCGCTGTCATCTGCCGAGGCGCCTCCGGCCACTGCTTGTCGCCCTCAAACCACTTCAGGTAGGTCTGCACAGGCCCAGAACGTGAAAGGGCATAGGGCTGTTGCCGTGAAGTCTATGCGAATGGAAAGGCAGCTCATGAGAGCATCCAACGAGACCTTGAACTCCAACACCTGCCTCTTTGTCCCAATTATCGGTGGTGAGGCCGTTGCCAAGAGTCAGCCAGCCTTTGCGCAAATCTGCTGTGCTTCCGCCACCAGGCAAGAGCCAAGACTAGATGATGCCGCTAGGTTCACTCATGTCAAGCCTGCACCGAAGCACTTGAACAAGCAACTGAAGCACTGTCTGCAAACAGTCAATGGAGATGATTGAGATGATCATACCAGACTTTCGGCTCTCCGAAGCCGAACCGAGGCCCACAAAGCAGCATAAACTGCCACCCCTGGAGCCACCACTTCGATTCTTCAATCTCAACTCGCAAAGCCTTACAGCGAGACGCCCAGTCCGTGAAAGCGCTCTTGCCTCACACACTCGGCATGGACACCAAACAGGCAGGCCGGGGTCGGAGCCGTCTCGTAGGTTCCGATCGCGGCCGAAGAGCTCTAGACGCCTGGCACTGCAAACGAAGTACCAGCTTGTGGTACTAGTAGCAGTAGTAGCATGAGTAGCGGTAGCTGCAGTGGTGGTGCTAGCAGTAGTAGTCGTCGTCGTGGGTTGGTTGCGGTAGCAGCAGCAGCAGCAGCAGCAGCAGCAGGAGGAGCAGCAGCAGTAGTGGTAGTAGCAGTTTCAATTGTGTGTCGTACATCGTCGCCTTCCTGCATGCTAGGGACCAAGTTTATATACAGGGCGAACATACAGGAGCAACACCACTCGTCACTGCCGCCCAATCATGGTGCCCACGACACACCAAGCGCTGGACCCCGAATCGAAAAAAGTTGCGAAGGCCGCCTACGCCCAAGGCAGAAGTGCTCGATCGTCTCGTACAGCCTGAACCAAAACTCTCTTTGTGTCTCTGTGTGTGTGTGTGTTTGTTTGTTTGTTTGTTTGCTTGCTTGATTGCTTGCTTGATTGCTTGCTTGCTTGGTTGTTTGTTTGTGTCTGTTTGTTTGTTTGTTTGATTGTTTGTTTCTTTGTTTGTTTGTTTGCTTGCTTGCTTGTTTGTTTGTTTGTTTGTGTTGTGTTGTGTTGTGTTGTGTTGTTGTGTTTTGCTTTGTGTTGTTTTGTTTTGTGTTGTTTTGTTGTGTTTTGGTTTGCTTTGCTTGTTTGCTTGTTTGTTTGTTCGTTCGTTTATTCGTTCGTTGGTTTGTTTGTTTGTTTGTTTGTTTGCTTGTTTGCTTGTGTGCTTGTTTGCTTGTGTGCTTGTTTGCTTGTGTGCTCGTGTGTTTGTGTGCTTGTGTGCTTGTGTGTTTGTGTGTTTGTGTGTTTGTGTGTTTGTATGTTTTTGTGTGTGTGTGTGTGAGAATGTGTGTGTGTGTGTGAATGTGTGTGTGTGTGAATGTGTGTGTGTGTGTGAATGTGTGTGTGTGTGTCTCTGTGTCT